GTATATTCCTTCCATCTTCTTTTGATACCTCCGGGATCATTTAACATTCTGCCTAAAGCATCCTTGATTATAGCAACTCGAGGTTTGAATTTGTTCTTCAGTTCCTTTGAGCTTAAGAAATACTGAATGAGTTCAGCCCTTTTGATTTTCCAACTCTAGCTCCTTGCACATTTCATTGTAATATTTTGCTTTGTCATCCCGTGTTGCCTTTTGGAATCTTCTGTTCAGCTCTTTAGTATCTTGAATTCTTCCTTGTTCTTTGGCTTCTCTACGCTTCAGTGCAATCTTCAGAGTTTCTTCTGACATTCATTTTGGCTTTTCTTCCTCTGTGTCTTTGTAATGACCCTTTGCACTCTTCTTGGATAATGCATTTGACATCCTCCCACAACTCATCTGGTCTTCGCTCATTAGTGTTCAAGGCCTCAAACCTGTTCCTGAGGTGGTTCTGAAATTCAGGCGTGATAGACTCAAAGTCACATTTTGGTTCCTGTAGATTCGGTTTCATTTTCCTCAGCATCAACTTGAACTTGCATATGAGTAGTTGGTGGTCTGTTCCACAATCAGCTCCTGGCCTAGTTTTCACAGCTGATATTGAGCTTCTCCAGCGGTTTTGTCCGCAGATGTAATCGATCTGATTCCTATGCATACCATCAGGTGAAAGCCATGCGTATAACCTACGTTTATGTTTTTTGTAAAACATATTTGCTCTTACTCAAGCTTAGGTGCACATAAACGGCACTTACTTTCCTTTAAATAATGCATGTTAGTTTCTCAATTGTGGATGGCACTCTGAATCAGGGCAGTCCCCCCTTTCCTTCTCAATGGGAACAGCTCGCTTGGGGTCGGGACAGCCAAGCTTACAGCCACCGACTGTGACCCTGGGGGAGTCAGTTAGCTTGTCTGTGTCAGTTTTCTCGTCTTTAAAGTGAAAATAATAATAATAAAATTAAAAATCCATAATGAGGACCAAATGAGATAATCTCTGTAAAGTGCTCTATCACTAGGCCATCATTAATTGAACTAAATTTCTTGAGCACCTGCTATGTGCTAGGCACTATTCCACACCCTTGAAATCCAGCAATAACCAAGACGGACACATTCGCTCTTCTTAAAGTGGCTGGCAGTCAAGACACTAGAAATGTTAGCTTTTCTTCTGTTCGTCCGATGCACAGTCACTCTGGCTTCTCCTGAGATGTCTCACACCCTTGTCAGCCGGTCTCCTCTCCTTTTTTTTGGGCACAAGGGACTTTTCTGCTTCTTCTACCATAAGCTGGCATGTGAGAGGCTGTGAGGGCCCCTCAGGTTCTGACACCTACCTGACGCTTTACTTAGGAAATGGGGCCTGATCTCTCTGTTTTTGGAATCCCCAAGCCATCTGTGACTCCAGATAAGTATCTGGGGTTTACCAAAAGCAAGGTTTAGGGCCTCTCCCACACATTCATAGCTTCCTTCTGACTGTTATGTCTCCTGCCCACGTATTAGGGGATCTATATTTGGTGTTGAGATTGAGTGGGCGAGGTATGATTTGTGTAATGTAAACTACACCTAGATCCCAAGTGTATATTCAGTGAGCTTTGACAGATAGATACATATATTTGTATAACCAAATCAAGACATAGTGCATTTTCACTCTTCTGGTAAGTTTAAATAATTAATTACCGTATCCAATCGATCCATTGATCCATGTGATTTTCACTGGCAAATCAATCATCAGTCCTTTCTTCTTGGTTCATCTTAGTCTAGAAGCTGTGCTGAAACTTGTTAGCAACATGCAAATCACCACTGGCAAACGAGGTAGCTGCTCTGGAGGTGTATTGACTGGCGGTTGGACAGGGATTCAACGGATTCTACCACTGAGCCATCCACTTCCTCAGAAAACATCCCTTGCTGCAGCCACAATGTTACTGAAGGGTTATGAAGTTAGGGAGCTCTGGTGGCTTAGTGGTAAGGAGTTGCACTGCCAATCCAAAGGTACATTGTTTGAGTCCACCATCTGCTGTGTGTGAGAAAGACGGGTGATCTCTTCTCATACAACTTGCTGTTGTTATTGTGTACTGAAGAGTTGGAATTGACCCCTAGCTGACCCTCTGTCAGGGCTTCAGAGGCAGATAATCACATAGAAGATTGTCCATCCTGAAGGGTCAGCTGTGAGTCAGTTCTGCCTCGACACCATATAACAACATGTTAAATGTTAAAATATCACAGCTTTTCCTGTATATCTACACATTGTTTTTTGGTATACCTAAACATTTTGACTACTTTATGCTTTCTTCTTTTTTTTTAAAAATTTTATTATTTTTATTTTTGTGTGTACCATCAAATCAGATCTGACTGGTACAAGGAGGAGGAGATTGTCCCTCCTTCTCCAGCAGAGCATCTGGTGGGTTTGAACCACCCACCTCTGGGGTTGCAGCACAGCTTCTTGCCACGAGGCCACCAGTGCTTGCTACGTGCTTTATGCTTTTTGTTGTTGTTGTGTATTGTTGAATTGGTACCTACTCATGGCTGACCCTCCAGTGGATTTTCAAACTGGAATGCCGTGGGGAGAGAATGCCCATCTTTCTCTCAAGGAATTGCTAGTGAACTTGAACCAGCAGAGAGGTACACAACCTTCAGTTAACAGCACGGCTTCCTAGAGACCCCCCCGCCAGAGCTCATGGGAAGAGGCAGACTGTTGGATGCCGCCGAGGCCTCCATGACTCACAGCAGATCTGAGCCTCATCCGCTCTGGTGCCACAGCAGTGACTTCCCTCATGTTTGAGCCCATTCCTGCAGTCAGAGTGTCAATCCCTCTAATTTAGGGCCTTCTCTTATTTTTCTTGCCCTCTGTTCTCCACCTGTTGTTGTTGTGTACCCTTGAGTTGGGATTGAACTCATAGGTGACCCCTCAGTGGGTTTTCAGAGGCAGCAAATCACCCACGAGTTAATGGCTCATCTTTATCTCAAGGAGCAGTTGGTGGATTCGAACCCTTGGGGGTTGGCAGTGCAATTCCTTACCACTAGGCTGCCGGAGCTCCTTGACCTAGCAGGATATAGTTTTAGGAGGAGGTTGTTGTTGTTGTTAGATGCTGTGGAGTCATAGATGACTCATAGCGACCCTATGAACGAAAGCCCTGAGCACTGTTCACAGAGTTTCCGGAGGCAAGCCATTTCGGAAGTGATGCTGCTCCTGCTTCCAGGCTTGTTTTATCTGGGAACTCCAGCCAACACTGTCCACCATGGGTGCCCATTATCACATTTGATGCATCTGTGTCACAGTCTTCAGCATCACAGCAACCACGAGTTACCTCTGTACAACAATGCACAGACCAGAGCTATACCACCTGGAAGAATGTTTGACAGGAAAACAATTCGAACCTGGCCTGAGGGCCGCAGATTAAAATCACCCACTTTCAGCTTGGTAGCATAACTTTCTGTCCACTAGGCCAACGTAGCTCTCTCTATGTCTTCGCTGTTATTGTTGTTAGGTGCCGTCGAGTTGTAGACGACTCATAGCGACCCTATGAACAAAAGACCTGAGCACGGTTCATAGAGTTTCCGGAGGCAAGCCGTTTCGGAAATGGATACCACTCCTTGACCTAGCAGGATTTAGTTTTAGGAGGAGGTAGCTGCTATTATTATCTCATTTTGCAGATGAGGAAACTGAAGCACAGAGTTGTCGATCACATGAGACAGTCACATGACAGGGAGGTTATTCTCCCCTTGTGGCCATGTGATGGGATGGGGGCGCGAAGCAGCATTTGAAAGCTCTAAGTGCATGAGGCAGAGTGGAGGTGGGTGTTTATCTTGTGGACAATGTGGGAGATTCGGTGTTTGTATTTGCAGAAGTTTGTGGCCAGTGCTCATGGCTCCCCCCGGGTGTACTGGCTGGGGCTGACTGACAAGAACCAAGAAGGGGTCTGGAAGTGGCTGGATGGGTCGCCCGTCACGCTAAGGTAAGTCCTTGGGGCTTCTGGGATCTCTCTGCCTCTTCTGTGATTTAGATCACGGAGTTAGGAGAAAGGGATGGGCTGTACGGCTGCAGGAGTCTGATGCTGAGATGCTGATTCTTGCTGATATGACTTGCTGGTGTTGTGCGCTATTGAGTCAATTCCAACACACAGTGACCCTGCAGACCAAAGCCGAGTTGCTCCATAGGCTTGTCTAGGCTGCAATCTTATTGGAACACATGACTAGTTTTTTCTCTTGTGGAACTACTAATGGATTTGAACTGAAGACCTTTTGGTTAGTAGGCAAGTGCTTAATGATTGAGCCACCAGGGCATGTTGTTACGGATGTGCTGGAAGTTAAATATAGAATAATTTATCTCCTGATTGATAAAGCACCAATGCTTTTAGCTTTCTGAGTATTCCTCTCATTTCCTAGAACTCTCCATCACCCCCAAACTAAGGTACAGAAGGGGTCCAGGTGTCTGACTGGGGGGAAGCACTGTTGAGGACCTCTGGACATTCCCTTTCCCCTGTGTTCTTGTCACCTTTGCAATCCAGGTTGGCAGGCTTTCTAGAGTCTCAGGCTGGACATAGTCTGTGACAAGTCTGTTGGTCTCTGTACTTCAATTTCTCTCCATTGCAACATCTCAACCTTTTAGTAAAACTGTTCAGGTATATAAACGCCCCAGGCCAGTTGTTGGAAAAAGGAAGTGGAAGGGGAAGAGTTTAAAAAATATTTTGGAACTCTGGTGGCCTAGTAGCAAGAAGCTGTGCTGTAATCCTAAAGGCGCATGGTTCGAATATACCAGATGCTAAAAAAAAAAAAAAGAGAGAGAAAAATTATTATTTTTTATTTGAGGATAACATGCACGACAGAACATAAGCTAATGCAGTTAATTTAGTTTTTGTTAATAAATTTTTTTAAATTGTGATTTTAATGAGAGTTTGCAAAAAAGTTAGATTTTCATTCATTGATGGCTGCACATTTTACTCCCTCTCCCTTCCTTCTCCCTCCCCCAGTTCACTTTAAAAAAATATTCTTCAGGGGGGAGGACTGGGCAGGGAGAAAAATGCAACAATGAATGAAGGGAAATCCAAAATCTCTGTAAATGTTCATTAAAATTAATAATAATAATAAAATTTATTCATTGTTGTACAATTACCGCCCCCCCCCCCAGTCCTCTTTGCAATGTACCTCCTATTCTGGGCTGTTATTGTACGTATAATGCCTAATCATATACTCCTTTTTTCATATATTCCTTTTAAACAGTTCTTTCCTTCAACTCTTCCAATGCAATGTTCATTATCTATCCACTCCTACTCCCCCTGTCAGATCTGCTTTATAACAGTGGTACTATGCAGTATTTGTCATTTTGTGACTGTGATATTTCCCTCAGCATAATGTCCTCCAGGGTCCCCCATACTGTGTGATGTTTTACGAGTTTGTTGTTTTTCAGTGCTGCATAGTATTCCATTGTATAAATATACCTTAGTTTTTCTGTCCATTTGTTTGTTGATGGGCACTTAGGTTGCTTCTATCTCTTTGCTATTGTGGATAATGCAGCAATAAACATAGGTGTGCATATATCTGTTTGGATGGCATTTCTCTGGTTTCTTTAGGGTATACTCCCAAAGTAGGTAGAATTGCTGGATCAAATGGTATTAGTATTTCAAACTTTTTGAGAAAGTGCCAAACCACCTTCCACAGTGGTTGCACCATTTTACACTCCCACCAGCAGTGAATAAATGTTCCAATCTCTCCACAACCTCACCAGCATTTACTGTTTGCTGCTCTATTGAACTTTGCTATTTGTTGCTGGGGTGAGATAGCTGTTTTTATTTGTCTCTCTCTGATAGCCAAGGATTTTGAACATTTCTTCACGTGTCTGTTTGCCATCTGAGTGTCCTCTTTGGTGACATATACAGTTAATTCCACATGTCCAATTCAGTGAAATTGAATTTAAATGGAGACATTTATTTTCATTTTCTTATTAATTTTAATGAAAGTTTACAGAGACTTTGGATTTTCATTCATTCATTGTTGCGCTTTTCTCCCTGCCCACCACTCGCTCACAGTTCGCTCTTCTCTTTGAAAAGTAAAACAAATATTCTTTCTTTGTTATACAATCCCTCCCCCCAAGTCCACTCCACTATGCAGCCTACATTCTGGACTCCTGTCATGACAATAATACCTAATCATATATCCCTTTTAAACAGTTCTCTCTCTTACCTGTTTCAATGCAATATACATTCTTTATCCTATCTTTCTCAGTCTTCCCCCAACCCTAATGTCAGTCCTGTTTTACAACAGTGGCACTATGCAGTATTTGTCTTTTTGTGACTGAGCTATTTCACTCAGTATAATGTCCTCCAGGGCCACTCATTTTAAATACTATTTCATGAGTTCTTTGTTTTTTAGTGCTGCATAGTATTCCGTCGTGTGAATATACCAGAGCTTCTCTATCCATGTGTTTGTTGTTGGACATTTAGGTTGTTTCCAACTCTTTGCTATTGTGAACAAAACTGCAATAAACATGGGTGTGCATATATCTGCTTGGGTGGCAGTTATGTTTCTTTATGGTAAATTCCCAGTAACGGAATTGCTGGGTCAAATGGCATTTCTATTTGCAACTTTTTGAGAAAGCGCCATACCACCTTCCATAGTGGTTGCACCATTTTATATTCTCGCCAACAGTGAATAAAAAAAAGTTCCAGTTTCTAATGGAGCCATTTTCAATTGGACTTTTTTTTTGTTTGTTTTGTTTTGAAGCAATTGTATATTAACATGTGGTTATAAGAAAAAAGTGCCAAAAGGAAAGATTTTGATTTGCTCAGTGATGAGCAGCCCCTCCTGATTTACTAAAGACGCTGTCAGGAATGTCCACTCTGTAGAGATGCTGTGACGTGGGGTGGCACTGGTGTGACGTGGTGCTGCTGGTGCCTACCTGGGCTCCCATCAGGGGACTGGTGTGTCCATCCCTTAGCCATGTGAGCAGTGGCTACCAAACTCTGATGGTAGTGTCTTCTAGTTCTTCACCTCAGAGTTTTCTCTATTTTCACTGTCAGCCATAGCCGATGACTGACTTAGAAGAAAACGGGCCCTCGCCTGAGGTTGGGACAGCTCTGCGATGCAGTGCAAGAGCCAGTTCCCCAGGCAGAGGCTAGACCTAGCTGACGTCATAGCCTTGTTCAACTCCTCCCCGTGTCCCATCAGGCTTCCTTCACCAAATCCGTCACCTAACTCACTTACTCACTTCCACTGCCTCTGGCAGCTCTCCGTGTGCAGAGCAGAACTGCACTCCAATAGGACTATATTCTTCAAGTTCCCGCGCTAACATAAGTTCACGGACCCCTAATTTTCCTATGTGGTCTTTCATGCGCTGTCAACTTATTTCCATGCACATAGATTTTAAAAGAGCACAGTGCTCAGGGAAGACAGTAATGAATTAACAAGACTTCAGGGATGTTTTTGCTTTAAGGTTTAAAGATTATCTATTGAGTTTTCAAGTGCTTTTAAAAAATTAATTTTAATGAAAGTTTACAGAGACTTATGGTTTCCATTCATTGTTGCACTTCTCTCCCTGCCCACCTCCTCCCCACAATTCACTCTTCTCCTTGAAAAGAAAAAGAAAAACTCTTTCATTGTCGTGCAATCGCCACCCCAGCTCCACTGCACTGTGCAGCCTTCATTCTTGACTCCTGTCATGACAATAAAACCCAGTCATATATCCCTTTTAAACAGTTCTCTCCCTCATCTGTTCCAATGCAATATACATCATTCCTCCCCTCCTCTATCTTCCCTCAACCCCAATGTCAGTCCTGTTTTACAACAGTGGCCCTATGCAATATTTGTCCTTTTGTGACTGAGATACTTCACTCAGCATAATATCCTCATCCATTTTGAATAATATTGCATGAGTTCCTTGTTTTTCAATGCAGCGTAGTATTCCATTGTGTGAATATACCACAGCTTCTCTATCCATTTGTGTGTTGATGGGCATTTGGGTTGTTTCTGGCTCCTTGCTATTGAGAACAAAACCACAGTAAACATGGGTGTGCATTGATTTTTTTTTTTTCAGAAGCAGATTATCATTCCATTTTCTGAGGCATCTATGAGTGGATTCAAACTGCCCACCTTTTGGTTAATAGTCAAGTATGCCACCATTTATACCACAAAAGAACACTTGTTTTCTTCATAGCCCCATTTTAATAAATCCCATCAATTAGGGTCCTTCTGCTTTAAGGGAACCAGACCGAAGGCATTATTGGGAAGATTGAGGCATAAAGGAAGGAATGTGTAAAAGAAACAATGGTAACAGAGGGAAGACTGAGTCTGACTTCTGCCCGCTTCATAAAAGGGATCTGTCCCCATCAATAACATCCATTATACTAAACAAATAGCTACCTGATCAGATAAGGCACGCCATATGCCCCTGTGCCTATTTCATTGGGTCCAATGTTCATTGCCACTTGATTCGCAGACTTTACTCACAGTTATGGTGCTTATTAGGCTAATAGGTTGAGGACTGGAGGAGGCAAAGAATATCACACAATGCAAGTCCAAGTTTAGTCCAGCAGTCCCAGGACAGATTAACAAGGCACAATCCCTCAATCGGTGAAAGTCCAGGTTTAGTTCAGCAGCACAAATGCACCTCTGGTTTCCTCAGTCATCCAGCAAACTTTATCTCAGAGCAGTTACACATCAGTTTTTTTCTTCAATTATCCAGCAAGCAAAACCTTTAACTGTTGCTTTTATCTCCAGTGTTCCTCTGGTTACACCTTGCCTTAATCTCTTCATAGCAGTGCCACAGTCTCTTCACCATCTCTCCACCACCATTTTTTCCACAGTGTGGAAAGCTCTATCTTATACTGGTCCCACAGTTGTTGAATATTTTCAAGACTATGTGTCCACAGTTAAGGTAGCTGAAGACCGTATCCCAAAAGGGGGCTAATGTAATTGATAGAAAAGCCAATTTTCAAGGTTTCTGACACCACAGAAGGACTCCTTAAAAGAGAAAGTGAAGACTGACCAGATACAGGAAATAGATTCAGGAGGGAGAAGTGCCATGGTGAACAAGGAGATGAGGCTGATCTAAAACAGGCCAAGTGGGGACAAGGAGATGATGTGACAATG